TATATATAATAAAAAAATAAAATAAAAATATAAAATAAAGTATTATTAAAAAGAGTAAGTTTCTCAGCCCAAATGCCCATCAACAGATGAGTGGATAAAGAAGATGTGGTTTTTTTATATAATGGAGTACTATCAGCCATAAAGAAGGATGAGCTTCAGACATTTTTAGCTAAATGGTTGGACCTTGACACCATACTCTTAAGTGAAATAAATCAGACACACACGTTTAAATACCACGTTGTTTCTCTGGTGAGAGAAACTGAATAGGGAAATAAGGATTGAGATGTATAATCAATGTTGGGAAATGGGAAGAAAGTGTTCAAATGTGAAGGGAAACAAGGGAGGGGGGAGGGAGAAAAGAAGGGACAAGGAAAAAGTGAAAATAGAAGGAAAAAATAGAAACAAAGCTTTTGTACATAGGGAGGGGAGAGGGCTTGAGGGGGGAATGGAATAAAATAAAATTTATTAATAAAAAAAGAATAAGGGCCGGGGATTTAGCTCAGTGATTCCACCGCCTCCCTTGCAAGCGCAAGGACCCGAGTTGGATCCCCAGTAACAAAAAAAAAAAAAAAGAAGACGTTTCTTAGGAATATATTTAACAAAAGTATAAAGTCAAACAGGTGTTGCAGTACATGCCTGTAAGCCCAGCACTAAGAGGCTGAGGTAAGAAGATCTCAAGTTGAAGGCCAGTCTGGGCTAAATAGCAAATTTAATGCCAGCCTGGAACATAATGAGACTTTGTTTCAAAAAAAAAAAAAATGTTAAATCCATACTCTGAAAACAATAAAAAGTTCTTAAAAAATTAAAGAAGGCCTAGATGGAAAGACATACCATGTTCATGGATCAGAAGACTTAATATTAAAATGGCAATACTCCTCAAGTTGATCTACAGATGCAAGATATTTTCTATCAAAATCCCAGGTGATTTGGCTGTTTCTAAATCTAAATCTTGGAAATCCAAGAGACTGGAATGGCAAACGATCTTGAAAAAGAACAAAGCTAGAGGAGTCATACTTCCTGATTTCAAAATTTATTATAAAACCACAGTAAGAAAGTGTACAGCAACATTAGGACAGATGTACAGACCAATCAAACAGAATTTAGAATTCAGAACAAAACTCTCCCGTTTAGAGTGAACTATGTTTTCACAAGGGTACTAAGATAAAGTAGTGAGGAATGAACAATCTTTTCAAAAAATGGTGCCAAGGCAACTAGATATCCACATGCAAAAGAATAAACTGGGACCTCTATACTTCACGCCCCATTGAAAACAGAGGAAATGAGAGAGGCAAGTAAGGGCCTCACAGGCCAAGTACTAATATAGATAGATTGATAGATGGACATATATAGATATAGATATACCTACATGGCAGAAGCTATACTACACAGGGTCACAGCACTGTTCTGGGAGGTGCATTCAACATAGCAAATATGATGTGAAAGCCGCCCTCTAAGAGGGGCAATGAGGTGGCTCAGGTCACAATGTATTTAGATTGACCTGACAGATCTCAAAAGATTGTCCCTTAAATATGTGTTAATTCAACTTTATGCATATTTTCAATAATTATACCAGCAAATCAATTATACATGCTGGCTTCTTTAAAATGACATCCTTCAGGTTTTATTTACAGTTTGAGAAACCAAATCTCATAGCGATCCAAATTATTTATTACATGGCTATTTTATTCCTTTTTTCCTTTCATTTCTATTGTATTAATAAATAATACATTCACATGGTTCAAAATTCAGAAGAACAGTCTTCCTCCTAGCCTGCCTCTCAGGCAAATACTTCCCATCTCTGGGGCAACAGATTTATCAGTTCCTTGTATATCTTTTCAAAGAGCGTTTATATCTTGACAAGTGTTTCATACCATGATATAAAATTTTGTTTTTCTTTTTCTTATTTTTTTGGTACTGGGGATCAAACTCAGGACCTTGCACTTGCGAGGCAGGCAGCAGCACCAGTGAGCTAAGTCCCTGGCCCAAAATTTTTTTTTCTAATGGCCACACACAATTCACAATTCCACTGTGTAGATCTAGTATTTTATCTCTTTATTGATAACTTTCGTTTGGAAAACATTTGGGGAAAAAATGTTCCCAGGGTAAGAGCTGTTAACCTTTTGTCTATGAGTGGGCTTCAGAAGCTAGGTGAATCTCCTAAAATGCTGTGTTATGTGACTATATGCATTTCTCTGGGCAGAAAACTTGCACACAATATACTACATTTATCATCAAGACCTATAGGGCTGGGGATTTAGCTCAGTGGTTTCACTGGCTGCCTTGCAAGTGCAAGGTCCCAAGTTCGATCTCTGGTTCCAAAAAAAATATGACTTGTGTTCAAAAAATATTTTCTAAAAAAAATATATATATATATTTTCTAGGGCTGGGGATTTAGCTCAGTGGTTCCGCTGCCTGCCTTGCAAGCAGAAGGACCCAAGTTCGATCCCTGGTACCAAAAAAAAAAAAATTTTTTTAGACACCAGGTGTGGTGGCGCACACCTGTTATCCCAGCACTCAGGAGGCTGAGGCAGAAGGACTGCCGTGAGTTTGAGGCCAGCCTGGACTACATAGTGAGTTCAAGGCCAGCTGGAGCTACTAGCAAAGCCCTGTTTCAAGAAAAAAAAAATTTTTTTTTTAAATAGAATTCTCATCTAGGGTTTTGCTAGACCTTTTTTTTTTTTTGGTACTGCGGATCAAACTCGGGACCTTGCGCTTGCGAGGCAGGCGGCAAAACCACTGAGCTAAATCCCCAACACTAGACTTTTTTTATACTTCAGAATAGAGGGCTTAGGTAAATACTACCAATATAATACAAATTTCTTATCTACTTTCTGGAACTTTTTCCAATAACAAAGAGTAAAACTGATCAATTTGACCTATTTCTTTTCTGCAAAGAGGTCTGCTTTTCATCAGCACCATGAACAGGAATACTAAAGAAAAGAACCAAAATTTAAAACTATCTGAATGATTAATAGTTGATATACAAGCTGTCATTCACCATAACTGACACCAAAGACATCTATAATCCCCCTTAAAAATCTATGCTACTTCCCACAGTGCTATCTGAGAACACAGGTCATTGGAAGTTGGGCAGGTGCATAATACATGCCAACCCATGCAGAATTCAAATTTGTATATACCTTGTTTAATCCTCAAAATAAACATTTACAATAGCTATCATTCCCCTGCCCCTCTTTTTTGTTTTTCTACCAACAAGGAAATAGAGGCTAAGAGATTACTAACTATTAAACCGTACTAGTACACTAACAAACTATCAAACTAAAACATCACCTCATTCTTCATCTTAAAGACTCCAGGGCCAGGGATTTAGCTCAGTGGTTCCAGCACCTGCCTCGAAAGCACAAGGTCCCAAGTTCAATCCCTGGTACCAAAATAAAAAAAGAAGATTCCAAATCTCACCAACTTTCCAAAATACTATGGTACCTGAATTCCAAAATGTTAACAATGATCATTTTAGAAAAACAGTACAATGTAGTGGTCAAACACCTACTTTTAATTCTAATTCAATCATCTACTAGTTAGTTATATGACAAAGTAACTTGTGGGTCAGAATGAAAAAAATGTATTTAAACCAAACAGTTCAAGATAGATGTGATAGCACATGTTTGTAATCCTAGCACTCGGGGAGGCTGAGGCAGGAGGACTGAAAGTTCAGGCAGCTTAACAAGACCCTGTCTCAAAATTTAAAAAAGGTGGGGATGCAGCTCAGTACAAAGGCCCTGGGTTCAACCCCCAGTATCGGGGAGAAAAAAGTAAACAGCTCAGGGAGGTCACTGGTTCAGAATGGCTATTATTACTATTATTTTACCTTTTTTAATAAACAAATAGGTCTGCAAAGTTTCCAAATTTGCCATAAAACTTCTTCCCTTGGAATGTTAGCACTCTGGCAAGCTGAAGAATAACTGAAAAAAAAAACTATGCCTGGTTAAATATCTTCTGGTTTAATGGAATAGCTTAATTTGTCTTTTAAAAATATTTCAAACCATATCCACTGCCATGATGTCTTTTTTGCCAGCTGCTAATTATTTTACTCTCAATTTCTTTGAATGTTTTACCAAAGTGATGCACTGAAGTTTTGAGGTTCCAAGTTTTTTAACCTTAGGTGATAAGAGATGACAGCTGTCAAACATCACATGTTTCTATTCCCTGTATTCTTCTTTTCCTGGTAAACTGTATTATCTGTTTAACTCCTACAATCTCATCCAACAAAACAAAACATCTTCCACACGCCATCCGGTCTGCACACAGCTGAGATGAGAGACTCGGGAAACTGCTGATGAAAGTCAAAGGCCTGAGACAACTTAATCAAGAGAAAAGAAAGTTTGCTACATTCTTCGTCCTTGTGCCCCAAAGCTGGAAATCTGGGCTTTAGCAAGCATTCAGCCTGAGGTCTGGGGCAACACGAACAGAAAAATAACCTTAACGCTGCGTCCCCAAATCATCATTAGTCTTACTTCCTCCCTTCCCCCAAGAGTAGAAAATAGAAAAGAAAGAGGGCCGGGCTCCACCGAAATCCCTGCACATGAGCTTCGCCCGGAGCTGGAGCTGGAGCTTGCAGTCCCAAGCAAGTTGTGTGCCCGGTGCCAGGTGCGCGGCCCCTTCCAGCCTCCGCTCCCCCACCTTCCCACCAGGAACGCCCCGTCCACACCAGGCCTGCAAAGTCTCCCAAGCCCCCTACACGCATGGCCTGCCCCCGGGGCTCACCATCGCAGCCCCAGGAGGAAGGAGCAGGCGGGCAGGCCAGCTGGATGGGCAATCGGTTAGCGGGGATCGGAATCCATTGGCGCCAACAACTTCTCCCGCGAAGTGAAAGAAGAGGGAGCGGCGGCGCGCGGCGATGACGTCAGGAGGCGCGCGCAGCCCTTCGGCCCCGCCCCGAGCTGGAGGTGCCCGGTGGGTGCGCTAGTGCCGCGCGGGTGGCCGCCCAGACTTTGCAATCGCCGGGGTCGCTGAACCGTGGTCGGTATTTGGGTCAACTTCACAGGTTTTTGGCCGGGATACCCAAATAGGGGATCCGAGATTGGATTGCTCGTAAAACCTGGTGCCAGAATCCTGCAGGCTACACGTCTGGAAGGTGCTTACCTTTAACCGCACTGCTGAGCTAAATCCCCGGCCCTCTTTTTTTTTTTAAAGTATTGCCGAGTGAACCAAGGGCCTTTACATTGAGCTACATCTCCAGCCCTTTTTTTTTTCTTCCTCCTTTTCCTTAACTTTCAGGGTCTCGCCAAGTCTTAAATTGCCCAGGCTAGCCTCGAACTTGTGATACTCTTGCCTCAGCCTCCCGGAGTGCTGTAGTACACGTGCCACCACACCCAGCTTGGTGTGTATTTCACATACCCCAAATAAATAGCTACATTTTTTTTTTTTAGGTACATGTCTTCAGTGTCGTGAGATGGTACGTGTACATAACACTAAGTAGCTAATCTGAAAGGATTTTATCCGAACATCTTCCTAGGTTTTTTAAAATATTTAACTCACTAAATTAGTTGGGGTTTTTTTGTTTTGTTTTTGTTTTTCGTTGGTTTTGTTTGTTTTTTGTCTACTAATAAAAGGAAACCCAAAGTTTGATAACCAGGCTAAAAGACAATATTGTATAATTCTAGACAAAAGACTTTAGTAAAATTATCTACTCGCCATCACTCATCTCATTTTACAAATGAAAAATGTGTACTGGACAGTCACAGGCAACCATAATCCCAGTATTCTGGGAGGCTGAGGCAGGAAGACCACAAATTCCAGCCCTTGGGTTCAATTCCCAGCACTGGAAAAATAATGAGTGGTGGTAGTGATGAGGACGAAGCCTAAACAAGTTAAGGGCTCTTTGTTCCAAAACTACCAGGCTAGGCAATTTATTAATTTATTTTTAATTTATCATAATATTAATATATATGGAATCAAGTAGATAAAATCAATTCACATTAGTGAAAAATGTCTACAAAATGTCTTTGAAAAGCAAAGCAAGACTGCATTTTAACAATTCATATCCTCGTGTAGCTAGGCATGGTGGTGCAATCCCAGCACTCTGGAGCCTGAGGTAGGAGATCGCTGCAAGCTGAGGCCAGCTGGGGCTACATAGTTCAAACCCGGCCTGAACTACATAATGAGACCTTGTCTCAAAAAACAAAAAAAAAAATTCATATCCTTGTGAAAGACGTGGGCTGTAAAAATAAAGCAGTGTGTTTAGCACAAACTAGAGATATCTGCATCGTTTTTCACATGTATTTCCATCTACAGTTCAAAAGAGGTAGGCTTTTCTCCAATACCTGAGAACTTAACTGTGATAACCAGGGGTGATAAAGGCAGTTGCATACATAAGTGAAACACACTGATAGAGACCAAGAAATGGACTCGTACAAGTCAGAGGGTGAAAAGGTCTGTCATCTAGCCAAGACCCAAGCTCTGCCCCGTGGAGTCCACTGCCACTATAAATAATGCACATCAAGATGGTGCCAAAAAGGCAATTGATGAGATTTCATCGATTGGACCTTGTCCAGGCTGGCCTAGTTACCTCCCAGTGTTCTAGAACATGGGAGATACAGGGCACGCTGTACACCACAGCACTAGGCTGAGGAGGTGATGGCCTTAGGGAAGGGTATCCTTCCTGCAGGGTCTCGTTTGTGTTTCTTCAGAGGGTAATGGGAGGAAAGATCCTGAGTGCATTGCCAGGAAGAATCCATACCCTTGAAACACCATGGAAGCATCTAGCTAAAAGAACATGGCGCCAAAAGCCAGGCCACACAATGGAGACCTAATCCCCACCGCTGCAGCACTGCTAAACCCTCCAGGAGCCGAGGTATGGATGAAACCAGGGAATACCGAGGTGCAGCTCCAGAGAAAAACTGATCCTAAGCTGGACTAAACAAGTTTTCTATCAGTAGACAGTGATGAATTGTGGAATAGAATGCAATGTTTACATGCAATTTTAAGAGAAATCATGAGACTATCAAAGAGTTCAATGGGGAGAGCAATACCTGGCTTTTGGCCCTAGACTCTCAAAACTTTCCCACCATTCCCTTTTGGGTCTCTAAAGTGACCGATGGCAGAGCCTGCTGGAATACAAGAGCCTGTGTTTATTAATAGGTGCCAGTATATAATATGTGCCAGGCAAGCAGCTATGGACTGGCCTGCTTTTTTTTTTTTTCTTTTGAGACAGAGTCTTGCTATGTATTTTAGGCTGAACTTGAACTCACTATGTAGCCCAGGCTGGCCTTGAACTCACAGTGATTCTCTTGCCTCAGCCTCCTAGGTGCTGGGATTATAGGCGTGCACCACCTGGCCAGGCTAGACTATCCTACTTTAACCCATTCTTTTCCCTCACTGACTGTTGTCCCCAGTTTACAAGCAAGTAAACTGCTACACATGAACCGGGCCTCTGAAGCCAGTGTGGTAGGTTCCCAGCCACACTCGTGCTAGTTCTGTGGCCAAAGGAGAGTCACTGTGCCTCATCTGTACAATAGGGACAATAGTACCACCTTATAGAGTTGTTATGGCTTGTGTTTGGATGTCCCCGCAAAACCTCATGAGGATAAGGTGGGACTTTCTTTTTCAGAGGTAGTTGAATCTGGAATGTGGGATGCTGGGGTTAAGGGCATGTGATTACTAAACCACTACATGTGAGTCATTAGTTTGGCACCACCCTAATCCCAGTAGTCTGAATAAGATAAACCGGGCAGAAAGATGCTGTTAAACTCTCACTTCTTACCTTCTCAACCTTGTACTCACCATTATGTTTCTGCTTTGTCATGCCTGTTTGGCATTCTTGCCTTCAAGTCGGCCGATTATGGATTGAAACTTCTATGAACTGTAAGCCAAATAAACCCCATCCTCTCCAACTTGTAACCCTCCTGCCTCCGCCCCTGAGTAGCTGAGATTACAAACATGTGCCACCATGCCCAGCCCTGCTTTTAACCTTTGCATTTCTTTTTTCTTTTTTTTTTTTTTAACATTTTGAAACCTTCCTTGAATTTAGGTAAGTCTAAGACTTCAGTCAGATACCTGTGACTTCCAGAAAGATACTGAACTGAGTGTTAGATTGTTTTCCATAGGAATATTTATTTATTTGAAAATACTCTATCTCAGAAGTGTGACAGATTAAAAATGATTACATGAGGCCGGGGATTTAGCTCAGTGGTTCCGCTGCCTGCCTCGCAAGCACAAGGACCCAAGATCAATCCCCGGTACCAAAAAAAAAAAACTACATGTGCTTTCATACTCCTCCCTTGAACCTGGACTGGCCTGTGACTGATTTGACCAAAAAATTGAGTGGAATTGATGCTATGCCAGTTCCAGACCTAAACTTTAAGAAAACCAATAGCTGCAGCTGGGCATGGTGGCACACACCTGTAATCCCAGCACTCTGGGAGGCTGAAGCAGGAGGACCTTAAGTTTGAACCCACCCTGGGCAATTTAGCAATTTAGACACTGTCTCAAAAGGGATGGGGAACCAGGGATTTAGCTCAGTGGCACTGTGCCTGCCTCACAAGCACAAGGTCCTGAGCTCGATCCCCGGTTCAAAAAAGGGGGTGGGCTGTAGCTCAGTGCACATACTCTGGGTTCAATGCTTATGGGGGGGGGGGAATAAGAGTAGAAAACTGGTAGTTCCTGCCTTGCTCCTATGGAACCCTGAGCCCCATATAAAGTGGGAGAGGGGGCCAGCTGTGCCCAGGCTCATAGCCATTTCTACCAGATACCAAGTATGTAAATGAAGCCATCCTGAACCTGCCATCCAAGCAAATAGTGGAATACCACTATGTAACCCCAGGCAACAGCTGGTGAAGCAAAAATCACCCATCAGTGGTCAAAGCTTGTTCAAATTTCCTGACCCACGGTAGCATGAACATAATAAAATAATTTCTCCTTTAAGGTACTATTTGGGTGGTTTGTGGAAAATTAGTAGATAACAAGAACAGAACTTTTAAGAAATCTTCTTAAAGACCCCAAATCGGCCAGACATACCTGTAATCCCAAACTCTGGGAGGCTGAGGTAGGAGGATCATGAGTTCAAGCCCAGGCTGAGCAATGCAGTAGTCAGACCCTGTTTCAAAATAAAAAAATATCCTGCACACAATGGAGAATTTGCCCAAAAAGAATATGGTGGTGGGGCTGGGTATTTAGCTCAATGCTTAGGGCTGGGTATTTAGCTCAGTGGTTTTGATACCTGCTGCGCAAGCTCAAGGACCCAAGTTTGACCCCCAGTACCAAAAAAGAAAAAAAGTCTAGCTCAGTGCTCTGCCGGCTGCTTCACAAGTGCAAGGTCCTGAGTTCAATCCCCGGTACCAAAAAAAAAAACTAAAAAAATAAAAATAAAAAAGTACTGTAGATGTAGCTCTGTACAAAGGCTATGTACCAGTTTAATGCCTAGTACCTTTATTTAAAAAGACCCAAAATACAACCAAAAAGTAAAAATGAATAGAAAACTAGATGTGTTCTCCACTTTGTGATTTTTATTTGATGCATTCATTCAACAACTATGCACTGAGTCAGTACTTTTTATGTACATTCTGGATAAACATAGTAAAAAAAAGATAGACTGTCCTAACTTCCCTACAGTTTATATTTCTGAGGAAAAAAGAAACATAAATATACAAAAGTGAATTATTTATTTTCAGATAAAGCTACCCACTATAAAGAAAATAAAGTAGCATGATGAGAGAAAAGATAATCAAGGAAGAAAACGTGAAAGTATTGTAAATAAGTGATCAAAAAGAGTTCTAAGGGGCCAGGGATTTAGCTCAGTGGTTCCGGTGCCTACCTTGCAAGCGCAAGGTCCCGAGTTTGATCCCCAGTACCAAAAAAAAAAAAGAGTTCTAAGATGGAGATACTTACCTGAGACATGAA